TTGGGCCAGATAATTTTTTTGCTCTGCAAGATTGTCTTGTGCATTGTAGGATATTTAGCAACATCCCTGTCCTCTACCCACCAAATGCCAGTAGCACACTGACCCTACCTGCCATCTTGTAACAACCAAAATGTTTGAGTGGATCTTTGATAAATATTATGTTCTGAACAAGGTGAGGAATAAACCACAAAGCAGACATGGTGGAGGGGGATGATCTCACCTTTATTATTGACAGAGCTGGATTGGAGAACATGAGGTTAAGTCTGTAAGTCAAGCTGGTTTGCTAAGAATAAACACAGAATAAGACCAGCTTACCCACTGAATCCCAGGGAGAAAGGCATCATCAGGGAATTAAGGAAAATTGATACCATTTGAAGGCATCTCACTCCCAAGAGAAAAGTGAGGTAGGCATGGAGTTTTACTGAGCGTGGCCAGATGTTAAATACTTTCTCCCCCCTTTGGAATTTAGGTGCATATAGTCAAATTAATTATAATCTTTGGTTTATGACACCTTGTAACCATTGGTCCATGGTGGCCAGCTTTTATTTATTTTGATATCTTGATAGTTATTTTTAATAATGAAATTCACACCTACTAACTCACCATCCAGAATAAAACTAGAAATGTAAATATTACTCACTCCTAATGATAGTTTTTCTCAGCCCATTCTCCTGTTTCTCCCACCCAAGGGACATCATCCTGATATATATTGTTTCCAAATTTACCAATAGAATAAATCTCTCTACCTCCCCAGGGACAGAATGAGCAAAGCTGGCAAAGAGAGGGCAGAAATGAGCTTAAGGAAAATGCTTTCTCAAGGAAACCAGGAGGGAGGGAAAAGGGTTTACTTCTACCAGATGGTGTTGATATGTTTCCTTAGTTTTTCAGAATACAGGGTGTCCCTAGAAACTAAATATATGCCAGTTATACTTTAAGAGTATCATACCAAGTGTTTATAACTTGGAGGGCTATTACTTTTTTTATTAATGTAAAACTATTTTTGTCAAATTGAGCACATGGTGATAATACTAGGCATCCACAAACCTGGCATCTGCAAACCCAGTTTCTCATTCTGTTCCCCTTAAAGTCCAAGTGTTGTTTCACATGCTAAGAATTTTTTAAATATAAAAAGTAGTCTTGGGCTTCCCTGGTGGCGCAGTGGTTGAGAGTCTGCCTCCCGATGCAGGGGACGCGGGTTCGTGCCCCGGTCCGGGAGGATCCCACATGCCGCGGAGCGGCTGGGCCCGTGAGCCATGGCCGCTGAGCCTGCGCGTCCAGAGCCTGTGCTCCGCAGCAGGAGAGGCCACAGCAGTGAGGTCTTTCTTTGGATAAACTCCCTCAGTTTTGAATTTTTTAATTTATTTTATTGCGCAGCAGGAAGAGTCCTTTCAAAAATAGAATCATACCATTTTAGAGTTGATCTGATCCAATATCTCCCCCAGGGTAGCAGTTAATAACAAATGACATTATAATGACAGATTCAAGTTTGTAATCTCATTGAATATCTGTGGTCTACAAGCCATACTTTGGAATCTAGAAAGTGGTCGACGAAGGAGTGACACACCCATGGTGCCTGAGTTCTTCTGAGTTTGCAAAAGAGCTATGATTCCAAGTCCCATGGCAAACCACATGATACTGCTGGGGTCACCAAGTCAACGAAGGAGTGACAATTAGCCCTTACTAAAGAATAAGTGCCATAGCATAGGGATCTTTTCACTGCTGCATCTCCAGAATCTAGGTGAGGAAACTGGTGCGTTATAGTACTGGTATTTGGAAAAGCAAAGGCCTGGTGGTAAGTTAAGACAGTCACATCCAGCTTTAAGCTTATTCCACTTGCAGTGCCCTGTGCTGGGTGGTTTACGCTGGTAGTTTAATTTAACCTGCACAGCATGGTGTTTTCATTATTATCATTATTGCTTTGCTCTTGAGAAAACTGAGGTCCAGAGGAGTGAAATTATTTGCTTAGGTCACACAGCTAATAAATACAGAGCAAGGATTTGGACCATGTGGTTTCTACCATCCTGTCTTCTCATAAGCTAAAAAGAGATATAGTAGGTGACCTGGCTTCTTGTTTTGGTTATGCCATCAACTAAGTAATGCTGTGCAAATTATAGGTCCTGTGAGTACCAGAAGAAATGCTAGGTTCATAGTTGATCCAGAAGGGCCTATTCAGATATAAATAATGTGTGCACAATTTTTAGACTAGGATACAATAGTGTGTTTTGATGTTTTATGAGGTTTCAAAGAAAACTCGCACTGATCTTGATTTCTCCAGAGTAGCTTAAGTTTTGGATGACATGCTCCTTTTTAATTTGCTTTTGTGTTTTTTGAAATTTTTGGCATATTACCTAGGGTTCAAGTAGGCAGTGAATTTCTTTATTCCAGATAAGTTCCAATAAAAGCAGTGTGTGCAGTTGGGTGAAATGTGACTAAAAATGGACAAAAATGGAGTTTAGGTAATAGGTGCATGAACTTGCACAACTCCCTACACCCCTTCTTCAATGCAGTGTGTGAAATTTGGGAGATATTGTTTTCTTCCAATCTGTAGTCAGTTCCCTTAGCCCTTATGGGACTATTCAAAAAGGGAATAAACCTGCCTATGTGAATACCAGATTGCAGGTGAATCTGCACTGTGTCTTATAAAGAGGAGGTAAGACTTTGAAGCCAAAGAAGTCTTTGTTTGAATCTTGTCTCTGCTGCTTATCGTCTGTGCAGCTTACAGGGGGAACTTGATTTCTGAGTCCCCATTTCACCATTTTTGTTTGGAAACAGTAACACCTATCTGATATTTGATGATAAGGGCTACTACTACTCTTTTGAGAAACTAAATCAAGCACAAAGAACAAGGGTTGCCTTAAACCCATCTTGGTGAAGCTGAACACCTTATAGGATGGGTTTATGTTGTCTGAGTATTAGACAATTTGTACAAGTTTCACAGTCATAACCAATTAATTTTATTTACGAAATACTTAACACTATGTGCCAAACACTATTTTAAGTCCCTTACAAATATTGACTCATTTTATCCTTATGGCACCCTATTTATTCTATCTGCACATTTTTAGAACATCACAAACATATGCTTTCTTCACAAAATCTATTATCATTTCTGTTTAAGAGGTGAGTAAATCAAGAGCACATGTGTATTATAAAACAACATCAAGTCTCCTAACCATGTCTGCTGATGTGTGTGTGTGCGTGCACACACGCACATGTGTGTACACAGATCGGGATCAAGTGCTGTTTGTGCCACAAAGAAACCCAGACTGAGCTTCCTGCTTCCAAGCCCCTGCCTTCTTTGGGTGCCACTTGAAACTTTTCTTTACCAGATTTACATCTGTCATTTTTAGCTTGCAAAAAATTTTTCTTGTTCTGTTGTTAACTTTGATGCAGAGCTCTACTCTAAATACCTAACTTGAAATGTTTGTCACCAGAGTCCACAATGTGTGATTTGGGGGACAAGAGATTTCATATACATTTGTATACATATATTTATATGCATTTGGTTTTTGATGAACATACCAAGGCAGATGTTGTCTAAACCTTTTTATTCTCAGTCTCAGGGTACTGAGATGCTGGAAATAGGAAATGGGATTCGAATACCAAGATACACACTATATATCCTCTGGCAGAAACAGAGGAGCTCACAATTAATTGCTAAACTACAGAACGTTAAATCATCCAAGGGACATCAAATGATGTGGAAAATAACAATATTGTGAGAAGTTCTATTTACTTGAACTAGCATTCAACTATCTAAAGAAATAATGTAGCTTTTTAAAGTTAGACCCATATTATTTATGTGATGATGGCAAAACATAACCATGACATTTTTCCAGGGTGACATTTTCCAACTGCAATTAAAAATCAAAACATTTGCTCACCGAGCTCTCATGTGAATAAAAGAAATCCTGCGTTAACAAGTTGCAGTCATCTTCATTAATGAGAAATTTTGCAGGTTAAGAACACAAAATTATTGGTTATCCAGCAGGGTTTGATAATAACTTATTCAGATGGAACTGTTGCACAGTTGTGAGAACAAGTGTTTTCCTGTCAGAACGACCTGCAGAATATAGACTAATTCATTCAGCAAATATTTTTTGAGCATCTACTGTGGCCTCAGATTCTGAGACTATGGCGCCACGGGGAGCAAAAGTAATCACAGTACTTGCCATGATAGGTCTTGCAGTCCAGTGGATGGAAGAGGAGATGGTAATCAATTATGCATAAATGAACATTTATATTTAAAACTGCAAAGGAAAGGGGCATGGAAATATGCTCTGCTAGTGTGTAATAAGGGGAACTAATCTAAGGCTAGCAGGGTAGTGCGGAGATGGCCTTAGGATGACTTTGCAATGTTTATCAAAAAGCTTTGTCAAGTCTATACCCCTTGATATAGGATTTGTACATTGAGGAACTTTCCCTAAAGGAATAATTTGAGATGTGTTAAACATTTTTTCTATAAGGACAAGGCATTGTTTTTATTATAGAAATGTTGGAAACATCTTAAATATTCAAAAGTAAGCACTTAAATTTATTATGTCCTTCAAAATTGTTTTGACTACCGAAAATCTTTAAAAAAACGTAAAAATGTTTTCATTGTAATAAAAATGCTTAGTAAGAAAGAGTATCTACAAAACAGTGAGTATTTTAAATGCCTTTGCCTTTATCCTAACCCCGTCCTTTCTAGTTCCTCAATTGATTCTTTGATTTCAAATATATCAATAATCATACTAATAGTAACTGTAAGAGCTCTTCATACTAGCTACCGTTTAGCCCCAAATACTTTATATCCATTATTTCAATTGATCTGATGTAAACCAGTGAAATAGGTATTATTTCATTTATTTCTTTTTGTATACCGTGACTTTTAAATATGTCAACATAGATATGTATTCCCTGTGCAACAATGAAATAATTGTTTCAACGCCCATGCTATTTACCATGAATTTCCTTATTGCCATTTTATCTAAGAGAAATCCCTTATCGTTTTGTGACAGCATTCTGCGAAGAGGGCTGCAGATATGGTGGAACATGTGTGGCTCCTAACAAATGTGTCTGCCCTTCTGGATTCACAGGAAGCCACTGCGAGAAAGGTAACCTCATCTGGTGTGTGTGTGTGTGTGTGTGTGTGTGTGTGTGTGTGTGTGTGTGTGTGTGTGTTGGGGTGAGAGAGAGAGAGAGAGAGAGAGAGAGAGAGAGACTAGGCTTCAGAGAGAATGGAGGCTCTTCCTCTGGAGCTATAGTACTGCGGGTTGACTTAATACATTATGTCTTGATGGTGGATGTGGCTCTCCTAAAGTTGGGTACCTTTTGATTACTGTGTAATAGGCATCCTCCTTCTGAAAATAGAGCTTCATTTGCCCTCCCTCCAACGTGTCTGATTTAGCAAGGTTGAGTCTTTTCTCTAGCTCCATTTGCAGTGTGCATTTTTAGTGCTAATTAGAGATAAAGGCTGACAAACTGACCAGCTCCACTTAATCCTCTCTTGGGTAGCGTCACAGGCAACCCCTGGAGTTATAACAATCTGCTGCACCCACGGAATCTAATTTAGAACTACATGCTCCTTGTGTAAAAGCACATTAAATAACCCCAGCAGCAGGTTTATTGGTGTGCTTGGGATTTTATTATAATATTGGTTTATTAGGAACATTATCATTCATGGACCTGATAATATAAGCCAATTTGTATTGGTAAGATTCCATTATGTACAGCTTTCTATTTGCAGTAAATGTAGTGTTTGCACTGGGCACTATTTGGTGAAATCTAGCTCTTTTATTAATTGGTGAAGTCCTCCTACCTGTGTGTAAATGAAATTGACATTCAATGCCAAAGTGGCAGTGTATGTATCAGTGCAAACAAGAGGTTTATGCCATGTAAAATTGAGTATTTCACTGTATTTTCCCATGAGCTTCATTAGGTTAAAATCACTGTGTTATGTGTTTCTGAGTCTGGAATGTCACACTGGACACTTCTCATAGTAGAGCATAGCACGATGGCAATATGGTGCTATAGTCTTTATCCCTATTATTAGATGAGGGGGAGTATGTTTTCATCTAATGCCAAAGATCTAAGCAAAGCTCTTGCTTCCTTGCCTTCATGTTAAAGGTTTCTGAATTTAAATAATAATTTTTTTTTTTTTTTTGCGGTACGCGGGCCTCTCACCGTTGTGGCCTCTCCCGTTGCGGAGCACAGGCTCCGGACGCTCAGGCTCAGCGGCCATGGCTCACGGGCCCTGCCGCTCCTGGGCATGTGGGATCTTCCCGGACCGGGGCACGAACCCGCGTCCCCGGCATTGGCAGGCGGACTCTCAACCACTGCGCCACCAGGGAAGCCCCTGATCCTTTTAAGAACATGTCAAAATTTAACTACATAAATTATTCAACAAGGAAATCAACAATGAGCATCATTGTTTCCATATTTTGTGAAATTATCAACAAATCAGATCACATTTATTAAATAATAATTACTTGGTTTGTCTTTAAAAAAAAAAGACACATAAAGAGCCAAGTTCCGCCTCCGAGCAGCATGAGAGAATTATCACATGGAACTGAAGGATTCTTGTCAAAAGCAAAGTAACTTAGCACACATAACCATATTGCAGTACATTTGATTTCAATTCGGTTTTCTAAAATGAAAAAAAAAAAAATCTAAATGTTTCGCATTATTTCCTCCAAAACTGCTATGTTTCCCTAAAATTAGAATACAGGAATTAATGGAGACAGAATGGTGATGATGATAATGCTGATGATGAGGGATTCTAATATTACTAATGATATACCATTTATCATGTACTAATTATGCATGAGACCTTTTAAATGATTATTTTAATATTAAGAACAAACAAACGAGATAGATATTATTACACTCATTTTACAGATGGCAGACTAAAGCTTGGGTAGATTAAGTAACTTCTGCAATGCTACAGAGCCCATATTAGAACTGAGAATAAAACTCAACTTGTATTCCACAAACTACATTTTAAACCCTTGCATGTGTTTCAAAGGGATAATGATGAACTTCCTGTAAAATCTGGGCTCCAGGTGAATCAGAATATCTGGGGGAGGGTCCATGAGCCTGCACTTTCACCAAGCACCTCGGGTTGCTTGTTATAAACCAGTCATTTTTATATTGTCATAGTGATACTTAACCAGAGTATCTACTGTAAAGTTCTTATTCTTTTTGCATCATAAAGAATTGGAGAAGAGCATTGATCTTAGACCAGGGCCTGAGTCAGTGGCAGCCCAGGAAGAATTGGTGATGGTTTCTGATGGCTTTGCTGATTTGACCTCTCTCCTTTGTTCTGCTCAATAAGTGGCTGATTGAATTGATGCTTACATTCTGGTCCATAATGTGGAACAGGAAAAAGCGAGATAAAGGAGAAAATCAAGACCAGAGGCAAAAGTAAGACAGACATTGGCAGGTCGTTGGTTCCTAGATAAATATTAAAGTTGAGATTCAGAATTACTTACTCTTGAAAACTTATACAGTTGCTATAAGGTAAAAAAAAAAAAAAAAAAAAAAAAAAAAAAAAAAAAAAAAGGTTT